AGTAGTAGTAGTAGTAGTAGTAGTAGTAGTAGTAGTAGTAGTCGTAGTAGGTAGTAGTAGTAGTAGTAGTAGTAGTAGTAGTAGTAGTAGTAGTAGTAGTAGTAGTAGTAGTAGTAGTAGTAGTAGTAGTAGTAGTAGTAGTAGTAGAGTAGTCGTAGTAGTAGTAGTAGTAGTAGTAGTAGTAGTAGTAGTAGTAGTAGTAGTAGTGGTAGTAGTAGTAGTAGTAGTAGTAGTAGTAGTAGTAGTAGTAGTAGTAGTAGTAGTAGTAGTAGTAGTAGTAGTAGTAGCGTCGTAGTAGTAGTAGTAGTAGTAGTAGTAGTCGTAGTAGTGTAGTAGTAGTAGTAGTAGTAGTAGTAGTAGTAGTAGTAGTAGTAGTAGTAGTAGTAGTAGTAGTAGTAGTAGTAGTAGTAGTAGTAGTAGTAGTAGTAGTAGTAGTAGTAGTAGTAGTAGTAGTAGTAGTAGTAGTAGTAGTAGTAGTAGTAGTAGTAGTAGTAGTAGTAGTAACAGTAGTAGGAGTACCAATACTAACAATAATGTTTGTCTTCGGGCTCCCACCCCTCTCCCTTCCCCCCCTCCGCCCCATTATTACCTCCAACCCCGCCCCGCACCTGTGCGCTCGGCGCCCGCGCCAGCGTCGTCGGATTCAACAAAGCGGGCAACTGCCGAGAGCTCCGCCTCGCTGGGCGAGCGCGGACCGGCCGCTGTCACTCCTGCGAGAGGGGTTGGCGCATGCATCGGTTGGCGGCTAGCGAAGGTCATGTTGCTCCCATCGTACTGTAGGACCACATCCCAAAAATAATTTCGAACACCCAGAAAAGTATCGAAACAATGTCGAACGAGTATCGCTTCCCAGGGCCCGACACGTGAAATTCCTTCAAAGTTTCGGTGTTGTTTTGGTGTTCGCTACTTTCTGGTGATCACGGCTGAAGTAAGTTACATCATAAAGCGAGGGGGGAGTGAGAAGCAGGAGGCCTTTTCAAAGGCGGCGGGGCTTCTCAGAAGCCCTCGGGCCTCTTGAGAAAACCTCCTGCGTCCTCGCGGAAAACCCAGGAAACTTCTCGAAGGCCCGGGGACTCCGGAGCCCTCTGAAAAGGCCCGTCCCTTCTGTCTTCCCCCCTGCTGGTCTCGCCACCGAATCGGGCTCAGCGGAGGGGCGGGGGACGAGGGGACCGGCCCGTCTACTCCTGCGAGAGGGGCGGGCGCATCGGGTTTTGCTCTGCCAACAGCAGGAGGAGGAAAACCTTATTTTTTTCCGGTAGCGGCCGCGCTGGTGGTCGGCCGGTCGGGCATGGCACAGGCGCGGTTGCAGTGTCTTCGCAGGTGACGCACGCCCTGTGCGTGAGAGGGGGGAATTCTTGTTCAGTTTTCGAGCGATGTCAGGCTCAGGAACTACAAAACCAAAAAACAAGGAACATAAGTCAGCCAGCCAGGAGGAGGGATGAGGGAGGAACAGGGAAGAAATTCAGACCGACGTGACAGTGAAACGTCATCAATGATGTAGATGCAAGAACACGCAAGTCTGGAAAACAACCGCTCGGCACCAATCAGCATGATCAATGTCATGGAACATCCTCCAGGATAGCGCGAACGAGTGTCCTGGAGTCCGCAACTTGCGGATCGGCCGATACAATCAAAATGACCATCACCTGCGCCAGCAACGGCCCCGGCATGTCCCAGACTCGGTGCGTCGCGTACCTGAATGATTCCACTGAACGGTACTAGATGGAATGAACAATCACACTAATACCAGTCCGCACGAACATCTGGAGAGCCTCTACCAAGATGGGGGTCAACACATTCGCGTGGATGATGATGATGATGGTGAATGAAGCAAACTAACCAAGGAATAGCTTCATTGCAAGAAGACTAATTTCCACCACCTGGACCAGCATCAGGTCCAGCATGATGTAGTCGCTGTGCACAAACTTCAGCAATAATACAAAGTTCCAACTCACCAGCTGTCCTCGTCATCCTTGCTCGCATCATAATTGTCAGAGCCTGGCCATTAACGATCCAACCAGTCATTGACGTAACTCTGCATACACTTGTCCAGTGGGCCTGGACGCCATTTGTTGTGGCAAAGATACCACGAGCTGCTTGATGATATGAGCATACGGCCCATAGCTTTCCGCGAGAGAGAAATATGCTGAACAACTTCTTTTTGGCATCATCCTGGCCACAACCTGCACCCAGGACGCGATGTTCATCACGAAGATCACACTCAAGTTGTGGTCCCCGCTGCTTCGTAAACCTGATACACATGATGCCAGAGGTCGCCGCGTATGCACTCTGTGAGTGCTCCAGAAACTCCGACCACTCCCCGATCTCACATGCCATCAGAAATGAGTATAACGCTGCACCATATCTGAGTAGAAGGTGTATTCTTAGAGACCACCACCTGCCATGTCTCCACCACTTCGTAAACGTTCTGATGGTAACCCTGAACTGTCGCCGAGGTACTTCATCAGGAAGAGGTGCCTGCACAGGGGCAATCCAATACCATAACGGTCGTATGTACACACAAGCCAGGCAATTTTGAACATCTGAAACCTCTGGGAAGAACTTCATCGTCTCGAAGACCTGGTACGCTTGTTGCCATCCCTTTCTCAGGTGGGATGGGTACTCAGGATCAGCTGGCCGACATTTTGCCCCAAAATGTTCAATGGCACGTATGGGGTCATCATCTCGGCTCCAATCGTGACGTTTGATCTGGTTCTCAGCTGAACCACCATCTGGATCAAGCTTGATCGTGAACTGGAAACTCTCATCCACGATGGCGCTTGTAGCATTTGTCAAGCTGCGGCCGTCCAAGTAGTCCACTCCAAGGTATGTAGACTGCTGACGTATCTCCTGGAGCGCAATAGTGCTGGCAACATCATCTGCCATGCTATCCTCCAGGGTAACATTGATCTTCGGAATATGTGTCGAGGTAGATACCATGGTCCCCTCACTTGGATACGTGAAACTTTCCACAGAAACTCGAGTGAAACGTTCAACAGAAACTGCACTTGAATACGTGAAACTTTCCACAGAAACTTGGTGATACCCTCCATGCACCTTGGGTAACTGCAGGCACTCGTGGAGGTACATGGTGTTGCTGCCGCCGATGCTGGCTTGTGAAGCCTCCCCTGCCACTGCCCAGCCTTCGTCTTCGACGATAGGCCGGTTAGGCGCAAACGCCCACCCGTGACAAGGGAGGAATCCACTCATACTCGTGAAACTTTCCACAGAAACTCGATGAGGCCTGTCCTGCACCTCCTCGTACTTCTGGCCCTCGTAGGAGCGCATGATCCAAATTGCTTGAATAGATAAGACCGCCCCTGCCACTGCCCAGCCTTCATACTTCACAGAAGGCCAGTGGGGTGCAAGCACCCATCCGTGACAGAGGAGACCACCACTCATACTCATCATACTTCCATCTGGAACTTGAAATTGGCTTCCTTGCACTCCGAAGAAATTCAGGTGCTCGTGGAAATACGTTGTGCTGCTACCACTTGTGCTGGCAGCTGGGGGCCCACCATTGGCCACAGTAGGCCCCTTGGATATTTGTCACTCTGCAGCGGCAGCGGGTCGGCGTCGCACTGCAGCAGCAGCTGGTCGCCTGCGCGCCCAACCTCGCGCACGTGTCGCCCCCCGCTTCTTGGCCGCCTTCTTCCTTTCCGCCAACTTGCGCCTGTAGGCCGCGAAAATGCGCTGCCCAGGTCGCTTGAAGTAGTCCTGCTGCCACTTCCTCAGATACTCCTTGTTCTCTGGCTTCTCGTACCACTTCCTGCGGTTGGCCGACGTCTGCCTGTGACGTTTCGCCCAGACATCCTTGCCATGAAGTCGCTCCTTCACGTCGTTGGCCTTCATTGTACGATCCACCCGCTTAGCACAAGGTTCAAGCTTTAGCTTGGCAATCGTTCTCTGCACTCCACATCTCGTGCACGAATAGTACGTATCAGTCTGCCTCTTTGTCTGTCTGGTAGTCGCACTTGCCTCCACCACATGGCAGACATTTGGCTTGAAATCCGCGTCGAGCTTGTCATACCACTCACAGTAGCGTAACCAAGCTCTTTGCCGAACAGCACGATTGCGCCCAGGTATGGCAAACTGCCGATTTGCCTCTCCCTGAGCTTCCTTCGTCTTCCCAGGGGGCGTGGTCCCAACACAATATCGCCAGTGGACCCTTGCCTCCTGAGCTCTTTCACAAGCTTGCTCACGCGTAGGAAGCCAGCCACAGCTTGGGCACTTGAGGTGGGCAGACCGTGAGACATCCACCGGCGTGCATGGCTCGAGGTCCGCAGCTTCGTCGAGAACAGCGTCAGCAGGGCCTGCCGCCGATGCACTTGCTCTGGACTTGTGTCGTGACTTTGGCGTGACGCCAAGGAAAGACCTCGCCCTCTTGACCTCTGACGTAGTAGATGCAGCTGAGATACCAAAGAAACTCCTCGCTTCGTCCTCGTCAAAGGCGTCGTCTTTGTGGCTGCTGGATGCTGCCACACTCTTGCCTCCTCCAGTGAAGGCATCTGGGTACGATAGGGCCGCTTCACACCATTGCTGAGCAACTTCTTTTGTGAGCGACGACTTGGGGCGTAGCAATTGGTAATGCTGATATTTCAACATGACCCAAACCACTTTGCTGTACTTCTTGGGGCTGGTATACAAGGTCCACCTGCCCCCTGTGGTATCTGGATTGAATTTCCAAATCCGAATATCAACTTTTGCAGCAATGGAAGTACACCTAATTGTGAGGGAGTCAGCCATCTTGCCACGCGTTCCAATTCTTGCAATATCTGCATCAGTAGCTCCGTACTTCTGCTTGTTCTTCTTAACTTCTCCCGCCACAAGGAGGCGGAGGGATTGCTGAACACGTCCTCCTGGTACCAGCTCGTTGGCAGGGACAGGCTTGTGTCCAGGCTTGAGTTCATGAAGTCCAAGGCCCACAGCAATATACGCACAATCACCTTGGCCTCCATTGTCTTGTACATCACAGTGCTCCTTCCACGGCGGATCTGGAGCAGCTGTTCTTGCCTGCTTGGCCGCTCGAGCCTTTGCAGGGTCTGCTTCGGCTGGTCGACGACTGGGCTGGTCACCTTCAGCCCCTGCATCAGCAGCAGGAGGTGGAGCTGCTGGTGGGTCTGGAGGTGCTTCATCATCTGGCTTGTCCTCTTCATGCGTGGCGAACGAGACCTTTGGCGGCGCCACTCCCCACGCACTTTGAGCTTTGACTCCTTGCGGTCGTTCACGATCTTTACGTTGAGGAGGCTTTGCTGGTGTAACAATGACCCCACTGCTGAAGTTATATGCTTTGTCATTCTGCGAGCACGCTGCAGCAAGATCTCCTCTGAAGAACCAAGTGCGTCGTCCCGTGCGTGTAGGTGATGTTACATTCGTCCATCCCCTCTGAATAGCCCAGGCTAGTAGAGCCTCGGGCGCTGTCCAATCTGGCGGTGCACGCTGGGCCGCCCACCTCGGAAGAAGGTCCGATCCAACCTGCTTGTCACTTAGCACCCCCAGCGGGGCATCATCACTCGGGCGGTGCAGAAGGCGGCCTGTCACCGTGGCCGCAGCTGCCACCACTCGGCTCCAGTACTCGTCAATAGACTCGGCCTCCCTCTGTTTGAACCATCTCGGCATGATCTTAGATTGCTGGTAGTTGCAGAAGATCCCCCTCGGGAGCTGCTCCTCCAGGAACTTTGGAATAGCATCTGTCTTGATGATCAAGAGC